CTCTTTTTTTGGTTCTATATGAAGTTTGAGGTGGTTTTTCCAGTTCTGTGAAGGTCAATTGCAGCTTGATGGGGATAGCATTAAATCTATAAATTACTTTGGGCAGTATGGCCATTTTCACAATATTGATTCTTCCTAACCATGAGCATGGAATGTTTTTCCATGTGTTTGTGTTCTCTCTTATTTCCTTGAGAAGTGGTTTGTAGTTTTCATTGAAGAGGTCCTTCACGTCCTTTGTTAGTTGTATTCCTAGGTGTTTTATTCTCCTTGTTGCAATTGTGAATGGGCGTTGGCTCATGATTTGACTCTCTCTGTTACTGGTGTATAGGAATGCTTGTGATTTTTTCACGTTAATTTTGTATCCTGATACTTTACTGAATTGCTTATCATCTTAGGAGATTTTCAGCTGAGACAATGGGGTTTTCTAAATATACAATCGTGTTGTCTCCAAATAGAGACAATTTGACTTCCTCTTTCCCTAATTCAGTATCCTTTATTTCCTTTTCTTGCCTAATTCCTCTGGCTAGGACTTCTGATACTGTGTTGAATAGGAATGGTGAGAGAAGGCACCCTTGTCTAGTGCCAGTTTTCAAACGGAATGCTGCCAGTTTTGCCCATTCAGTAAGATATTGGCTGTGGGTTTTTCGTAGATAGCTTTCATTATTTTGAGATATGTTCCATCGATACCTAGTTTATTGAAAGTTTTTAGCATAAAGGGCTGTTGAATTTTGTTGAAGGCCTTCTCTGCATCTATTGAGATAATCGTGATTTTTGTCTTTGGTTCTGTTTATGTGATGGATTACATTTATTGATTTGTGTATGTTGAACCAGCTTTTCATCCCTGGGATGAAGCCTACTTGATCATGATGTATAATCTTTATGATATGCTGTTGGATTCAGTTTGCCAGTATTTTATTGAAGATTTTTGCATCTATGTTCATTATGGATATTGGCCTGAAATTTTCTTTTTTAGTTGTTTCTCTGCCAGGTTTTGGTATCAGAATGATGTTGGGCTCATAAAATGTATTAGGGAGTATTCCCTCTTTTTGTATTCTTTGAAATAGTTACAGAAGGAATGGTACCAGTTCCTCTTTGTACATCTGGTAGAATTCAGCTATGAACCATCTGACCTGGAGTTTTTTTGGTTGGTAAGCTATTAATTGCTGCCTCAACTTCAGACCTTGTTATTAGTCTATCCAGGGATTCAACTTCTTCCTGGTTTAGTCTTGTGAGATTGTAAGTGTTCAGGAATTTATCCATTTCTTCTAGATTTACTGGTTTATGTGCATAGAGTTGTTTGTAGTAATATCTAATGGTAGTTTGTATTTCTGTGGAATCGATGGTGATATCCCCTTTATCATTTTTTATTGCATCTATTTATTCTTCTCTCTTTTCTTTTTTATTAGTCTGGCTAGTGGTCTATTTTGTTGACCTTTTCAAAAAACCAGCTCCTTGATTTATTGATATTTTGAAGAGTTTTTGTGTCTCTGTCTCCTTCAGTTCTGCTCTGATTTTAATTACTTCTTGTCTTCTGCTAGCTTTTGAATTTGTTTGATCTTGCTTCTCTAGTTCTTTTAATTTTGATGATAGGGTGTCAATTTTAGTACTTTCCTTGCTTCTCATGTGGGCATTTAGTGCTATAAATTTCCCTCTAGACACTGCTTAAATGTGTCCCAGAGATTTTGGTATATTGTTTCTTCATTCTCATTGGTTTCGAAAAACATCTTTATTTCTGCTTTCATTTCATTATTTATTCAGTAGTCATTCAGGAGCAGGTTCACTTTCCATGTAGTTGTGCAGTTTCACGTGAGTTTCTTAGTCCTGAGTTCTAATTTGATTGCACTGTGGTCTGAGAGACTGGTTGTTAATTATTTCTGTTCTTTTGCATTTGCTGAGGAGTGATTTACTTCTAATTATGTGGTCAATTTTAGAGTAAGTGTGATGTGGTGCTGAGAAGAATGTATTTTCTGTGGATTTGGGATGGAGAATTCTGTAGATGTCTATTAGGTCCACTTGGTCCAGATCTGAGTTCAAGTCTTGGATATGCTTGTTAATTTTCTGTCTTGTCGATCTAATAGTGATAGTGAAGAATGTTGTTATTACCCACCTTCTGAAGCCTGCTTTTGTCACTTTGTCAAACTCATTCTCCATCCAGTTTTGTTCCCTTGCTAGTGAGGAGTTATGATCCCTTAGAGGAGGAGAAGCATTCTGGTTTTTGGTGTTTTCATCCTTTTTGCGCTGGTATCTTCTTATCTTCATGGATTTATCTACCTTTGGTCTTTTAGGTTGGTGACTTTTGGATGGGGTCTCTGAGTGGGCATCTTTTTTGTTGATGTTGAGGCTAATTCTTTCTGTTTTTTAGTTTTCCTTTTAACAGTCAGGCCCCTCTGCTGTAGGACTGCTGGAGGTCCACTCCAGACCCTGCTTGCCTGGGAATCACCTGTGGGGGTTGCAGAACAGCAAGGACTGCTGCCTGTTCCTTCCTCTGGTAGGTTCATCCCAGATGCTTACCCACCAGATGTCAGCCATAGCTCTCCTGTATTAGGTGATTCTTTGGATATACAGGGGTCAGGGAGCTGCTTGAGGAGGCAGTCTGTCCCTTGTCAGAGCTGAAGTGCTGTGATTGGGGCTGAGTTGCTCCCTTCAGAGCTGCTGGGCGGGACATGTAAGTCTGCTGCAGCAGAACTCACAGCTACTCCTTTTACCAGGTGCTCTGTCCCAGGAAGGTGTGGCTTTATTTTTAAGTCTGACAGGCTGCTGCTTTTCTCAGAGATGCTCTTCCCAGCAAGGAGGGATTCTAGTCACAGTCTGCCTGCAGAGGCATTGTTGATCTGCCACAGGTTCCCCTCACCTGCTGTGTAAACTTCTTTGTCCTGTTGTTTATGCAGGTAAGGTTAATGGCAGACACCCTACCCCCAAGGAACTTGACTGTCCAGGGTTGTGCTCAAACTGTTGTGCTGGCTGCGAAAATCCTAAGCCAGTGGGATTCAGTTTACTGGTCTCCATGGCGATGGGACCCCCCAAGCCAGATCACCTGGCTCCCCAACTTCAGCCCCCTTTCTCTCAGGTGTATGGGCGATTCTGTCTCACAAGCATTCCAGGTGCCAGTCAAAACGGCTGCTTGGATTTTTGCGGGCGGACTAATGGTGTCAGTTGAATTTGCTGCTCAGATTTTAATCAGCTGCTCAGATTTGCCCTGGAAACCTGTGGCACCTGTCAGCATGCGGGGATCTCCTGGTCTGTGGGCTGCAAAGACTGCAGGAAAAGCACACCATCAGAACTGAAGCTCCGGAGTGGCCGGACATCCCCAGTGGCCTCTTGTATAGGAGGGAGGGCCCTCCGGCCTGTTGCACTTCCCATGTGAGGCAGCACCCCACCCTGCCTTAGTATACCCTCCTTGGGCTACACCCACTGTACATCCAGTCCCACTGAGATGAACCTGGTACCTCAGTTGGTAATGCAGAGATCACTCACTTTCTGCCTCACTCTTGCTGGGAACTGCGCTCCAGAGCTGTTCCTATTTGGCCATCTTGGCGGAAGTCCACTGGTCTCAAATTTCTTGGTTCAAACCATCCTCCCACCTCAGCCTCCCAAAGTGCTAGGATTACAGGCGTGAGCCATCTCGACCTGCTGATTTTACATTTTTAAAGGGTATTTTAAAAACTAAAAAGTAGAATGTGTATTCATACATCACTGTGTTGATGAGACCATATGTGGCTGATAAATCCTAAAATACTTACTACCTGGTCTTTCACTTTAAAAAAAGTTGCTGACCCTTGTTTTAGAGTATCATTTCTTAAACACCATTTCTTGAAATTGGACTTTGACTCGGGTTTGAGGCTGTCATCCCTGAAGAAAAACTCAGGTGCTTAATATTCTTAATTGCCAGTTAAGTGCAGATCCATATGCTTTGAAAAGGAACTGCCAGAAAGTAGATGTAAAATATTCTAAGGTGAATTTCTAAGGCCTAACCAAGGTTCACACTCGAATACATGGTCTGCCCTCTGTACTTAGATGACACTCAAGCAAATGGTCTGTTGTGTGCACTTAGTTGACACCGTGTTGATGGCCTGCTGTCTGTACTTAGTTGACACCATGTGGATGGCCTGCTGTCTGCACTTAGTTGACACCATGTGGATGGCCTGCTGTCTGCACTTAGTTGACACCATGTGGATGGCCTGCTGTCTGCACTTAGTTGACACCATGTGGATGGCCTGCTGTCTGCACTTAGTTGACACCATGTGGATGGCCTGCTGTCTGCACTTAGTTGACACCATGTGGATGGCCTGCTGTGTGCATTTAGTTGACACTGTGTGGATGACCTGCTATCTGCATTTAGTTGACACGGTGTAGATGGCCTGCTGTGAGCACTTAAGAGACAGCCATGGTACTTTGCACCTCTGTTGCAATGCTAAGCCAATCGCAGCTTCAGAGGAGGGTCATTTCCATACATGCCTTTATCCCCACTATACTTTTGACACCTGGGGGCTTTTGACAGGGACTGTGTTTTACTCTTTTTTGCCTATATTGAGTAATTTATGTTTACTGTGAATTGGATTAGTAAGTCCTTTCACACCTGATATTCATGTCACTATATTGTTTTCTTCCTTTTTATTCTTAAAATTGACAAATTTTTCTCTTGTATCTTTGTTTCACTGAATCTTGGTCTCCTTATTAAAATCTTATATATGAAATAACAGTACTTTGCTCTGATTTACTGTAAGATAAAACATGATTTTAGTACTGTTTTCAGAAGAAAGAACCAAAAATCCGTCCCAGGATGTGCATATTACGGTGATGATGAAGGGCACTTTCTGACCAGATCTAAATCTAGTGTAGTTTGCTTTCCTTTATGATCTGTTTGGTCCTGTTTTTCTGGGGCAGTTAATTTAGAGCTCATACTGAAGAGCAACAAAGAGATCCTTAGCCATTTTTGTTTCTTTTGTCATGTGGATATCATTATGAGAAATAATTGGTTTGGGTTTTGTTTTAATTACCAGAGACCCAAAAGAAGGAGCTATGCCCCTGGATATTTCCATAATGCCATCTTCACTCCAGGTGAAAACCCCTGAAGGCTGCACGGAAATCCAGCTTCCAGCAGAGGTCAGGCTTGTACCTTCCTCTTGCCGTGGGCTGCAGTTTGTTGCTGGAGATGGACTGCACCTGCGGCTGCAGGCAAAGGCAGAATTAGGCACAAGTGAGTAATATTAGCACTCTGTTTCTGTATTTACCTTTCTGTTATAAAGCAAAGGTGATTTTTCCTTTGGTAAAGTGAACTTTTCCCAGGTGATAAAAGGACTCATCAGCAGCATGGTAAAAGCTGGGGTTTAGAAGATCTAGGGTCTTTGTCAGCCTTGCCAGTTATTGACTGTATGCAATTGAACATGTTACCTAACCTCTCTGAGGCTTCCTCCCTCCTTCTCTCCCTTCTTTGTTTTCCTCCCACAGCAAAACTGAGCAGAAGGTGTAGGGATTTCCCATTTACTTCCTGGTGTCTTTAATTGTAAAATTTTCTGGCACAGGGATGGGAAGATTAAATCAGATAGCAATTGTGTAAGACCTGATTGGTTTGAAAACATTACATGGAAATTTATTCATTCAACAAACATTTTGGTTTGTGCTATGTGCTAGTCATCAACCTAGATGCTGGGGATACAGAAGTGAACAAGGTAGGGGAGATGTTTGCTCTCATGGAGCTTGCATTCTAATTGGTGGTAGCAGATAATGAACAATTTAAATATTAAGAAAATATTTTGATAAATGTTATGATAATATAAAACAGAATAATGGGATAGGGAGTGACTAGTGTTGGCTGAAGGATGATCAGGAAGGCCACTCTGAGGGGTCCAGATAAAGAAAACAGTACATAAAATGTTCTGCAGTTGAGTTTGATACATAATTTAATTTTGATTTTTACTGTGCCTGTTATATTTACTGCATGTTTTAACTGGTTTATTGATTAAGTAAGGCAGTAGAAATTTGCTTTTCCTAAGACCTAGAGGTTATTTATTGAATAAAATTATTGATTCATAACATCTATTACAATATATGTAATATATGCTTTGGGGGATTAAAATTATGTCAAAAGGGGAAACAGGGTGTAAAAGACTTATGTGACGTTTATTATCAGAGAAAGATTATAATTCTTTCAGCTGCACACTGACATTTCACTGCTGCCTCATCTGTAATAAACCTTTCATCTGAACTGTGTGGATCCTGGAGGTGGGGTCAGCGGGAGTGTTTGGAAGAGCCACTTGGGAGATGCTGAGCATTCTCTTGAGTCTCTATTCTTGGCTTTTGTGAGGAAAGAGAAGACAGAAAGGGTTTCATTTCTTTTTTTGCTGGAGAGCAATTTTTGTTCAAGTCCTGGATTAGTGAATAACTAGTTTTAGTTGGGCAGGGTTGGCTTTAGGACCAAGGGATAGGGAAAAGAGATGTCATGGCACTTAAATGTTATAGGATAAATACTGGGAATGACTATTGGAATAACCATAACAAGAAGGTTAGGGTCACCAAGATGGGAAGTAGACTCCCTGAGAACACCTAATAATGGGCAGAGAAAGTTTTGTTTCAGGGAAGAGACCATGGAAATCTGGATGTTGTGTTGTCATCACCTTCTCCTTCAAAACAGTTATCTCTTTTACATGAGTAACCACAGCAGGAATTTTTTTGGGATCTGGAAATTTGGGAAAGGCAAGCATGAAAGCCACAGTGGAGTGTTTTCTGGGACTGTGATTTTGAGATGGAGGAATAGAGACCACTGGGGACATAGTATTGGGTTTTTGCCCATCCATATTCTGTATTCTGTAACTTAATATACAAATAATCAAAACTGGAATTATTTTAAAAAATTTAAATCTGCAAACATTGTTTAAACTATAGGACAAAATTCAGTTGACTGCTCTGTGTTGATTTGCACATTGTTTGTGTTCGTTGGTCTCCTATTTCTTTACACTTTTAATATATTTTACTCAAGTATCTGAAAAGGAAAACTATCAAAGGTCTGTTCCATAGTGCATGAAAGAGTATGCAAAACAGATTCCTCAGCACTTAATTGCCTAAGTGCCTTCCATATAATAGGTGGTGCATAAATATTTGCTGAATGAATAAATGTGAATAGATGTGTACTGGTATGAACTTGAATCAAACTGTTTTGTAGAAAAGGACTTTTGAAAGTTTTGGCCTTCAGTTTATGTTTCAGGGTTTTTAAAAAGTTGACTTTTCAATGCTAAGAACACCCTTTAAGGACAAGTATAGTAAACATCATACTGGTATACTGCTATTTTGAGTTCAAACTGTGACCCTCCATGTGGAACTAGCTATAGTAGTATGTATTTGAGCAAAGCTGTAGATTGATCCTCAGCAGCAGCTCTCTCCCAGGATTTCTCTATACCAGAAACTGAATTTTTTTTTTTTTGAGATGGAGTTTCACTATTGTTACCCAGGCTGGAGTGCAATGGCACAATCTCCGCCTCCTGGGTTCAGGCAATTCTCCTGCTTCAGCCTCCCGAGTGAGATTACAGGCATGCACCACCATGCCCAGCTAATTTTTTATATTTTTAGTAGAGACAGGGTTTCACCATGTTGACCAGGATGGTCTCGATCTCTTGACCTCGTGATCCACCTGCCTCGGCCTCCCAAAGTGCTGGGAATACAGGTGTGAGCCACCGCACCCGGCCAGAAACTGAATTTTAAACCCGACCCAGTGCATCATACTGGGTGGCCAGCAGAGGGTAGTGTTTTACTGAAAATTTGTGGGTCTGGAAAGACTGTTTTATATTCCTAGGTCTCCTCTTAATCTGCTGAAAGTTAAAGAATAATACTGTTTATTTCACCTTAGTGCTATAGGGATTTCTGGCCATCCCTTAAAAACTGTTAAGATTTTTAATGTCCAAGGTGTAAACCTTTTAGCATCAGTTTTTTTAAATCTTAAAATACATATAGAAGAACACAAACAAAATCTACATTGCTTGATACTGATGGATATGACCTCATTTCTTTAGTTAGACTTGTATAGATATATTTTAGTTGTTTCTTTTAAATGAAAGATTCCTTATTTCATAAAAGAAATATTGTAAATGAAGAAAACTTGCTGCCTTATGTTGCTCTTTCCCATAGTGTAAGAAATATATGTTTTTCCCACAGCTTTCAATGTTTTCCCATAGCTTTCATTAGAAATTGAATTTTGCTCTGGGAAGACTGGACTCTTTTTGGAGCCGTTTCATTCCCAGGGAGATTTCCAATAAACACGAGTTTGAGGTCTATTGTTTGTTCATTTGGTAATAAGCTAGAATGGACATAAACCTTGTTTAAATAAAATTAAACTCAAATTTGGGCATGGTGGCTCACACCTGTAATCCCATCACTTTTGGACGCCAAGGCCGGTGGATCACCAAGTCAGGAGTTCAAGACCAGCCTGGCCAAGATGTTGAAATCTTGCCTCTACTGAAAATACAAAAAATTAGCTGGGTGTGGTCGTGGGTGCCTGTAATCCCCACTTCTTGGGAGGCGGAGGCAGAGAATTGCTTGAACCCAGGAGGCAGAGGTAGCAGTGAGCTGAGTTTGTGCCACTGCACTCCAGCCTAGGCAACAGAGCAAAACTTCATCTCAGTAATGATGATAATAATAATAAAATAAAAATGAATTCAAATTTAAGAGCTCTATTTGTTCACTCTGATGAAACACTACTGTAAGACATAGCAGAGGAAAGCTGAGCATGTTGGAGATCTGTGTAGTTAGCTTGATGAGGAGGAAATAGTTCTTTTTCACTCATTCTTAATGTTGGTATTTATAGAATGAGAGAAATAACAAATGTTACATGCATAATGTAGGGCAGCACCTAGCTGTGGAATACTTAGCAAAATCTGTTGTTTTTGAAAACACTTCACAATATTTGCTTCTGCTTGAGTCATCAGATAGTATTAATTAAATGTGTACTTCTAGGTGGATCATAAACTGTTTATGGATGGTAATTTATCATGGCTGTTGAACTGTTTAAGTATGTTAATATATTTGTTTCAACCTCTAAGATTTGCTATTTTGTTGACTTCCTTTAGAACTGATTTCAATGTTTAATCAACACTTACAAGCCCAAGAATGTTGCACATTTTATTGCCAATCCTGTGGTGAAGTCATAATAAAAGACAGGTAAGGAATATATTTAACACTTATTAATTCTGTGTCTGGCAATGGTTATCTCTTTTCCCATCAAAATTTTTGAAGTAATTGTCAATGGAGTAGTATATGGCCTTAAAGTGAAAGCCAGCTTAATGTCACTTTGAATAAAATCAGCCACAAAACTTGCTAGTAATCACAGAGTGCTTAGCTCTTAGGAACATTAAGGGGAGCACTAGGATGCTGATTTTGAGGGACGAGAGCTGATCTTGGCCGAAGAACATGTGCAGATCACTGAAGCACCTCCTTCCTGAAAAGAAACATGGCATCTGTCACATGTTTTATCCAGCGCAATGCTGAGTGACGTTTCCCACATTCAGTGATTTTTTTGCACATAACAGAAGCTTTGCACAACACTTTTTTTTTAACTATTTTTATCAGTGCCCTTCTAAAATCCATTTCCTATTACTCCTGCTTATTAAAACAGAGCATACAGAGCACAAATTAACCTTTTGTAAATGATTAGGTTAATTTTATGACTTATTCTTGCCATGTGCTGTGATTACCCTGTTGAGATGGGAAGGGCTCTTTGCTGGGTTTTTGTTGTTGTTATCAGGGTTTTTTTTGTGGTCCCAAAGGCTGTTTTAATTTTTCTTTTTTCTTTTTTTTGGTCTTCTTTCTTCCTCATGTCAACCTTCTTGTTTCTTGGGCACAAACCCTCCCCGCTGAAATGTCAGCCACTAGTCACTCATAGGCTAGAGAGACAGATTAAATCCTAATTATTGTTAACAATGTTTAAAGAAAGGACTTAGAGTTCTTCATTAGATGGGTTTCCTGAGTCAGGTTCCTAAGACTTATAAGTGAACAGATTCTCCTTATCTGAAACCTGCTTCTCTTCCAGTGTTCCTTACCTGAGTAGTGCTATACTTCTACCTGCGTCCTCAAGGTAGAATACTGATATTGCCTTCAGTTCCTCCCTCTGAGGCAGGGGAGTCCAAGCTTTTGGCTCCCTGGACAACACTGGAAGATGAAGAATTGTTTTGGGCAACACATAAAATACACTAACACTAACAATAGCTGATGAGTTTTAAAAGAATTGCCAAAATTCATAATTTTTAAAAAAAATATATATTTTATTGCACTTTAGGTTCTGGGGTACCTGTGCAGAACATGCAGAATTGTTGCACAGGTACATACATGGCAATGTAGTTTGCTGCCTCCATCACCGTCACCTGTATCTGGCATATCTCCCCATGTTATCCCTTCCCAACTTCCTACCCATCACTCTCCCTCCTGTAGTCCCCCCGCAACAGACCCCAGTGTGTAATGCTCCCCTCCCTCTGTCCATGTGTTCTCATTGTTCAATACCTACCTATGAGTGAGAACAGGCGGTGTTTGATTTTCTGTTCTTGTGTCAGTTTGCTGAGAATGATGGTTTCCAGATTTATCTATATCCCTACAAAGGACACGTACTCATTGTTTTTTGTGGCTGTGTAATATTACATGCTGTATATGTGCCACATTTTCCTTGTCCAATCTATCATTGATGGGCATTTGGGTTGGTTCCAAGTCTTTACTATTGTAAACAGTGCCACAGTGAACATACGTGTGCATGTGTCTTTATAATAGAATGATTTATAATCCTTTGGGTGTATACCCAGTAATAGGATGTCTGGGTTAAATGGAATTTCTATTTCTAGGTCCTTGAGGAATCGCCACACTGTCTTCCACAATGGTTGATCTAATTTACACTCCTACCAACAGTGTAAAGGTGTTCCTGTTTCTCCACATCCTCTCCAGCATCTGTTGTCTCCAAATTTTTTAATGATTGCCATTCTAACTGGCATGAAATGGTATCTCAATGTGGTTTTGATTTGCATTTCTCTAATGAGCAGCAATGATGAGCATTTTTTCCTACGGTTGTTGGCCTCATATATGTCTTCTTTGGGGAAGTGTCTGTTCATATCCTTTGCCCACTTTTTGATGGGTTTGTTTTTTTTCTTGTAAATCTGTTTTAGTTGTTTGTAGATTCTGGATATTAACCGTTTGTCAGAATCAATATTGTGAAAATGGCCATACTGCCCAAAGTAATTTATAGATTCAACACTGTCGCCATCAAGCTACCTATGACCCTCTTCGCAGAACTGGAAAAAAGCACATTAAACTTCATATAGAACTGAAAGAGAGCCCACATAGCCAAGTCAATTCTAAGCAAAAAAGAACAAAGCTGGAGGTATCACGCTACCTGACTTCAAACTATACTGCAAGGCTACAGTAATCCAAACAGCATGGTACTGGTACCAAAACAGAGATAAGACCATTGGAACAGAACAGAGGCCTCAGAGGCAACGCCACACATGTATAACCATCTGGTCTTTGACAAGCCTGACAAAAACAAGCAATGGGGAAAGGATTCCCTGTTTAATAAGTGATATTGGGAAAACTGGCTAGGCATGTGCAGAAAGCAGAAACTGGACCCCTTCCTGACACCTTATACTAAAATTAACTCCAGATGGATTAAAGACTTAAACATAAGACCTAATACCATAAAAACCCTAGAAGAAAACCTAGGCAAAACTATTCAGGACATAGGCATAGGCAAGGACTTCATGACTAAAACAACAAGAGCCAAAATAGACAAATCAGATCTAATTAAACTCCACAACTTCTGCACGGCAAAAGAAACAATCATTAGAGTGAACCAGAATGGGAAAAATCTCATGTTTTAAGAAAGTTTACATATTTGTGTTGGGCCACATTCAAAGCTGTTGGGCCCCATGTGGCCCAGCAGCCATGGGTCAGACAAGCTTGCTCTAAGGGGTTCCGCCCATAAATAGTCAGTTGCCAGATTCTTTTGCATAGCATGTCTTATGTAAGTCCACTTGCCTCCACTCTAGTGCCTCCACCTTAGTTGAGGCCACTGTCTTCTCACCTAATTACACTTGTTGCCAGCTCCTCATCCACTGAGCCTCCCTCTAGTTTCACCCTCTCGTCTGATCTATTTTAGCACAACTGAGTCATTGTTCTCAAATGTATCAGGCTCTACTGGTCAAACCCCTCCTGGGCCCCCCATTTCTCCAATATAAATTCCAGAAACATGCTACGTTAGGATCTTTGTGAGTTTACCTCTATTTAACTCTCCACCCTCACATTTCATACTTCTTTCCCCAACCTATTCCTCCTCGCCCCAAAAACATCCCATTATTGAATAGCATTCTGTACACAGCTCTGGTGATTAGTGTGTAAGCCCAGTAGTCTCTTCATGATTCTTTTCATCTGGGGCCTTATGAAAGTGACTTCCTTTCCTGGAATGCACCCCACACCCTGTCTCCCCCTTGTTGGCTCCTACCTGAACTTCATAATTCAGCTGACAGAACAACCACTGTTAGGAGCCTTCTCTCAACCCTGGGTTGGTTTAGGTGCTTTTCTAAGGTTTATTTGCCTGTCTTCACAATTAAACTGTAGGCTCTCGGAGTGGAGATAATCTTGTCCACTGTATCCTTTATCCTTAGTCTTTTGAGAGTGCCATATAGTGTAGTCCCTTCTGAGTCTGCCTAGTAGTACAGACTCAGAAGCCAGACCAACTGGGTTTACACCTGCCATTTACTAGCTGTGTGACTCTGGGCAAGTCTTAACCATTCTGTGCCTCAATTGTCTTATTGCAAAAATGTGGCTAACAATAAGGACCTACCTCATTTGTTTGCTAGGAGAATAGAGTGAGTTTAAGTGTTTATGACAGTGCCTGGCATGTGGCAAGCATTCAGAATTAGCTACTGCTATGATTACCATACTCATCATCGTCATCATTCCCATCCTCAGCATCAGGCACTGTCCCTGGTGAATGGTATGGTCTCAATCAATTTTTGCTGGTTGAATGGAATGAACATTGACATGTTTGTTTTGGCCTTCCACCAACCTCTCTTGCTTGCTTCCTGATTTCTGGCAGTGTCCCAGGTGGATGAGATGGTGCAGAGTTACACTGGCATAAGTGAGAGGTTACAAATGGAGGATCCTCAGAAGGACTATCTTGACTAAGAAATGAGGTGACTTTAAATTTGCAGAGGAGAGACCTTATCTTTGCTTGGATTACATAAAGGTTGAAGTTACTGCATGTACTCAGTGACAGGCCCACTTTATCCTAAAAGGTTCAGGGGAATCTCAGTTTACATTGTAGTTTAATCAAGAGTGTTTCCGCTCCCTCAGTCTAGTTTAGGCTTTGGTTGAATTCTCAAATGAAGTTTATGAAACATTCATTCCTAGACAACAATGGGAATACCTAGAAGTTATAGTCAGAACATGTTAAATCCGTGTAACAGTATTTCCTGGTGCTGCTTACAGTAAAGGATGTGTTCATTCATTATTGGCTGTTATTCGTGTTTCATTGGAAGAGGATGATAATATGAAAAATATTTATCTGTTGCCCCCATTTTTTCTGTTCAAGAACTGTATCATCTGTGTCAGTCCCTTTTACAGTCATGGAACTGAGAACTAGAAGGGCAGCAATCACTCTCTCTACCCCTGACCATCCGCAGGCCCTGGAGGCAGGAGCAGGAGAATGGACCTGGGTTTGAACTCCAGCTTTGTGACTTAGTAGCTGGGAAGTCACATTTGTACTACGTCTGGTTCTTGTAATACAGCCTTCTAATAAGGCCTGTTTCCTAAACTTGTCAAGCGAGTTAAAGGGTGTAACATATGTAATAGTTAATGCTCAGCAAGTCTTTTAAGTTGGTTTTATAGACTTTTACCCCCTTTTCCAAATTGTTCCTATTAACAAACTAGAAAATTATCTAGTTTAGCATTTCAAAGCTTTTGGTTTCAGGACTGTGATTCACATACTCTATATGTGTCCAGGAAATGAGTTCCCTTTCTCTTTTTCTCTCTGAGAAGATAAACAGTGGACTTGACTTAGCCTTTGCCTCATTTAAGCAAGGCTTACACAAAAGCTTTTTCGTATCACACCCGTGTGCCTGGCATATGCATGCCTCTTCAATAATGCAGAGAAATCCTTAGTAAATGACTTAAGGCTTCACTTA